ATTCAATATACATACATTTTATAGATTATTAAAAATTTTGATACAATCAATATCCTATCTTGGCCAATTTAATTATCATATTTAAATCACAAAAAAAAGTGATTAATCCATTCTTTCTTAATTTAGATTTAATCATTGAATTTGCTTAATAAATGGAAAAAAAACAACCAAATTTGGATATTTTTAGAGTATAATGTAAAAATAGATAACTTTTAATATATGTTCTTCTATAAATTTGAATTAAGTTTACTTATATATTATTTAAAATATATATATACAAGTTAAATATATATTGTTTAATTTTGTAAATATTTAAAAATTTAAATTACTTGACTTTTTCAACAAAATGTGCTTATATTAGACAGATTCGTAAATTTTATTCGTTTATTTGTAATTAATGATTAAACCTGATATATGTATAGTGTTTTCTTTGAAATAATCAACAAATATAAATGATATATTTTAGTATAGGACAATCGGAATATTATATTCACTTACTGATAGTATTGATATTATTGATATTAAAATGATACTTATAACATGATAATTCCGATAATTTCGTTGAAATGTCGTATTAAAATCTCGTATTAATGATTGCACCATCGTTTAATTAGTTAACCAAATTTGCTAAATATTATTTCGAAATTTCCTATTTTTCAAAACATAATACTTGTAAATGTGAAATTGAGATTAGATGTTCATTCATAGAACATTTTTTTCTCTCTTGACTGATTTTCTAGAACAAATTGTTTATTGTTTAATTATAGGTATATATTCTGAAAACACTTTACTCTTATATATAGTACCATCGTTATGATTAAAGGCTGTTAATACAATTTGCAAAGATACATGTACACGCAGTTGCGTTATTACTGCCATTATAATCGCGACACGACTTTGGCCGCTTTACCATGCATACCTATAAAAGCGTGGACAGTTCACCCGTTCGTCTGGAACTTTAACAACGCATGCAATCATTAAACTTCAACTATGCTCAAGCGGATTTACTGTCTACTGCAAGTAACATACGTGACGCATAAGCATACAGGTGTTTTGTACAATTGGTAGAAGGACAATATAATGTGGTCCGAAGTTATGCATATAATTTGAAGCATCGGACAGTTCCGCACGGAACCTACAGCTGTACATTAATGTACGATAATGTGTTCTGCGATTATGCGTCTCGTAAAATTCTCTACTCACTGTTTGGCGACACCTGGAGATTGCCGTTTCCGCCGGTCATAGCTGCCAGAGTGACAAGGTTCTGCATACTCATTGGCGACACACCCGCATTTGCTGCAACATAATCAAATATCAGAATTTATTGTAGAAATCCTCAATTCTCTAGATTTATATACCGCGATGATGAATATAGCGTACTATTTAATAATTCGTAAAAAGAGCTTAAATTTTGCCTAATTTGAAATATTTTAACAACACATAAAACAGTTTTAATTTTTCTAATGGAATTTTTTTTAGCAATAAAAAAACCAAATTTTGCCTAATTTGAAATAATTTAAGAGCACATAAAACAATTTTAATTCTTCTAGTAGCTTTTTTGACAATTAAAAACATTAATATTAATATGTTAAGTACAAGCGTCTTGAATATTTACTTTATTTAATTCATGTTTTAAGTTCTCTCTTCATGTATAGTTGAAAGTAAATTATACGTCATTCTATGCGTTTAGTTTGTGTATATATGAACTCATTGCGTGCGACACTGAAATGTCATCAAATGACTACGTTCAGCAGCAATAACTAATAAATACATGTGTTACAGTAAAGTTAATGATAGACTCGTATTGAGGTATGTATATCATCAACCTGGCATCTTTCTCGATCCCATTAAACGAAGAATTTTTATTTTTATTATTGTCATGGTAAACTGGTGCAGAACGTTTCGTTATAACTTTCGAAAAGATATGACCCATGGGACGCGATCATACGCGGTGGAAGTTGGAGAATATAAGCGTGAAATAATATAATTTATTCTGACATTGATATGACTGGCGCGGACGAGTAATTTTAGTGAAGAAACGGATAAAGTTTCATTTTGCTCAAGCGAATCGATCATATTCTATGATATTTTACGTAGAAATTTGATGGTGCGCAATCGAAATATTTTTGAACAAAAATAAATTATCTCTCAAGAGGAATTATATATTTAAATTTATCCGCGCTCAAGATTTACGTTTTTAACTTGTTCACGAAAATAGGTTTTCTATAAGTATCGGAACATTAGTATAGAGTAGGGTCAAAAGGTGACGCGATGAAGTTAAACTTACATTGAAAGGGATAAGTTTAAAGATTGCACACGTCAGTCATATTAATATTAGAAATGTGAAAGAATTGACGTAATGTGTGATATGAATGTAAATGCGTTAACGACTAGATACAGTCGTTAATGCATTTACATTTATATATCGCACATTACATCAAAATTCTTTCACATTTCTAATATTAAGATGACTGACGTGTGCAATCTTTAAATTTATCTAATTAAAGATACTTTTAAGAGTATTATATGATGTAAATCTTTTATTATTAATCATAAAAGTCCCTATTCATGCAAAATATATAAATAAAAAATGTCAGTAATACACATAAAAAGAACAAAATAAAAAATGTTATCAACTTCTGCAATATCATAATATAATATTTCATAGAATTTTCTTGCTATCTTAAAATAAAAAAGTAAAAGAACATGTAAATCTGTCATTACATAAATACTCACATAAACTAGCGCAAGACAATAGAGATTATAACTATTTATCAATTTCAATATACAGGGTGGGCCATCTATTGGTACGTTTTTAAAAATGCGATCAAATGAGCATACATTGATATTTTTTATTAATTTTTTTTTTGTTGTGAAGCTAAAAGTATCCGCGTCAAGAATGAAAAACGATTTCGTTCATGTGGCTCCCTCTACTGGCCTTACAGTATGCCATTCGGTCACCCCAATTATTAATGACATTTTGGACTACCTCGGCGTCGAGTTGAAGTCGTCGGATTCTGTCTCATACTTTGGACCACAGCCTCAATATTCTCGGGTGTGCGCACTGTCCGAGCTCTGGGACCACTTCTGTCATCCACTAACATCCCTTTCTCACGAACTTTCCTCACCAATTTGCGTATAGCTCCTTCGGTGGGTGCTCTATCACGACCCATATTTCTTTTCAAAATTCGTACAGTTTCGGCGACACAGCACTGACTTTGAAAATAAGTTTTTAAAATTTCAAAACGCTCTTCAAGAGAAAACATGTTGTTTCGTGCCGCGGACGGTATGACTAATAAACTGTCAAAATTTCGGGTCTGTAGCTCGTTCGGTGTTGCCATACGACGAAATTCAAAAACGTACCAATAGATGGCCCACCCTATATTTATATACGTACATACACTAACATTTCACCTATAATTCAATAAAAATTTTTAATGATCGTTATAATAACGATCAATACGATGGATAATATTTTCAATAATTTATATTTTGAAAATCATTATGTTGAAAATATTTAATCTCGTTTCAAGAGAGATTGGATTTCTACTGATCTTATTTAAATCGTCAACGAAAATTGGAAATCAAATAAGCGCAAATAAGCGAAAATAAAAAATTAATAATCGACACTAACCATACTCACCAGCAGTGTTGCTCAGAGACGCGAGGGTGGCTAAACTTTGCAAATTTGCAGGGTTGATTTCTGCTGGACTAGGTACAGCGGGGGGTGCTGCGTGTGCAGGTGTTGCCGCACCAAGGCCAAGGTGTTGTTGTAACAGTAACTGATGTTGTACATTCGACAGTGCATTAGCCGCTCCCGCGTTCGCAGCGACCGGAGTCGCGGCACTCGTCGTCGCCTGCAACTGTTGCAGAAGCTGCAACGATGCAGGCGCCAAAGTGTGCGCATCATTCTATGAGTACAAACGTGAATAATAATCATTAATCACAGTCGCTGTAATATCTCATAAATTCATCGTATCCATTTCAAAATTTTTATAAATTATTTGAGAATATCCCATTTTAATTCTACCATAATTCTAGCCATTAATTTAAATATAATTAGTATAAAAACTTTTATTTCTACAATTTAAATATTATTAAACTTTTAATCAAGCTTTTTATCAAATTTCTACTAAGAAAGGATTGACCGCAAATTTGCTAAAGGATACGCTTGTAGAGCTTTATGCAAATCTCATGAAACGTTCAATAGAAACAAAGCTTTGGTGTAGCCACTATACGTATTCGAAGAATACAGATCATGTTCCTCAAAAAAACGTCTGAGTTCTTTTTTTAAATATATTTTGCATAACAAAATTGAGATTGCTATGTAGAAAGTCACAAAGGATAGATAATGCATACGAATGTAAGGCGCTCAAACGATAGTGCCTCGTGAAGAGTTCTCGTTCTCGATGCAAATGGAATCTTTGATATCAGCCAAAGAGCTTTTATTATAAAATATTAAGTACACGTACGGCTAGGTAATGCGGTGTGATGTTGACTCCCGCGATGTTCCAGAGATTCGACTGAAGTTGCTGCATCCTCTTCTGGTCCTTTTCCTTTTGCGTATCGGCGAATTTTACGACTAATGGCGACGAACAGCCCTGAAAATTGCACAATGCGTTAATGCTGCGTAAACAATATATAAAATATAAGAAATATAAACAACGTTGATTAATGTCACAATTAAGATTTGATAAAACAAAAATTATAGACAAAAAATATAATGTATGCACACAGTAACAAATATTTAAACTATATAGAATTATTTAATAGACTGTCATTGTTTTAAAAACGTTTTTCATTGAATAGCTTATACCATGATCTATAAAAAAAATTTTGGTGTTATTATTATTCTTATGTATAATATATATTATTTTCTTGTGTTATTATCAATTCAATCCTAAAAGAATTGGGAAATTTATAAAAATAAATCTTGCCGTGTCATAATAGCAATTAAATATTTCAGAGTTCCAATAATATGATTGATAAAATGATTATGATTTGAATGAAAATAAATAAATAATTATTTTTCTCATTTAATTTCTGTTGAAACTCTAAAAAAATATTCATATCTCAAAACTATATTAATATTTGTGTGATAATGCCTTGTTTTCTGTCAATCCAAATTCTTGAACAAGCTTTTGCTATAATTTGACATTCCTTTCGTTAGTTCAGAATGTTAGCCGTATTTCGTACTGAGCATCGTTTTACACCTGAATCCGGCGTTGGTACATACATTATTGGTTCAAGTCCAAGTTCAACATTGGCGTGAGAACGGGATTGCCGACGATCGAGTATTACATTGGTGGAAAGAGAAACTCATTCGATGGTACGCGAGATGATATACACACGAATCGCGAGGTCGATGCACCATGTACAATGCGCCTGCAATTGGAGACGCGAAATCGGCGTGCCGGTTGTGCCGGTAGTGACGAATGAGCAAGTTCGAAGAACCTGCAGCCGGAAATATTCGTAATATTAAAGTGGAATTGCCTTCGTGCCCGCATGTCTTGGCACACTCGCATTTACCATCGAAATAGTACATTGCAAAGGCGTATCGTCACTAAATATATCTCGTGAAGTGATTAATGAAGTTGTTAAGTATTTCTTATATTAATGAAACAAAATATTTAACAACTGAATACCGCAAGGCTACGTTAAAGGAAATATCTTGATATTAATTAGATATTATATAAACAGATAATTGATATTATATAAATAGGTGAATCGAAAACTTTATGTTTTACTTTAAAATAAAAAAAAGTTATGTATCATAATCTATAGCGTAAAAATATTCGGAGAAAAAAATATGTTAACATATTTATGTGGAAAATGAATTAAATAATATAGTGAAAATCAAGTATAATATTTAAAAAAGTATCAGTTATACTTAGAGAAAATATTTATAAATTTTTGAGAAATCACAAATCAATATAGAATTCATTGTTTCCTTGTCAAAATTTTTGTAGAGACTATAGCAAAAGGGGCGGGAATAGAATATTCTTCTTATAATTTAATTATTATATTTTTAACATATAAATAGATAATATCACAATATAACATTGACAATATCGGTTTATGGTTTTCGAGCAATGCTCTAAGGAGATTCGATAATTTATCTGTCCAACTCTCTCTCTCTCTCTCTCTCTCTCTCTCTCTCTCTCTCTCTCTCTCTCTCTCTCTCTCTCTCTCTCTCTCTAGCGTTTGCGAAAGCTTAGATAGTTGTAGTAGTAGTATGGAGCAATGAAAGAAGGGGGAATAGAAAAGCTTGGCGAGCTTTGAATCGCCAAGGTGTCAACCAGTTCAGTCGTCTTTACTCTCTCGCTCGGTTTTAGTTACTCCGAGTTAAATCGGTATATTTCACTAAGGTGACTAGTCGGATTGTAGATGCACATGGATGTTTCGTCGAGTGACAATGGCATCTAGCCAATACATCTGACGACTCGGTTGAATTGCCATGAAAAGAAACGAAGACTTTGTATGCGACCCGCTTTGTGTCGTCATCTGCCCCCCAAGTCTTCCCGACACTGTTTTCTCCGCTTAAAAGATCGGAGTCCTCACGACCCAGTTCTTTCTTGCAACATAAATATGAGAGCAGATTGCATGTCCTCATGGATTGCTCATTATTTCCACAAGCAACTTTTCAAAGAAGTTTTCATTATTACCTTTTAGTTAATTGTAGAAAACGTAGATGCAAAAAAGTTAAGGTGGAAGAATAAAAGATGAAAGATGATTATCATTGAATGATAGATTAATAAACGGTACGCGATTAAAAAAGTAAGTAAATGAATAAAATTTGTCATATTCTTATAAAAGCTGCATCATCCCTGTACGAAAAGTTGCCACTGTATTCTCAACTTTATAAGAGATAGAATATTAGATGACGTTATTGCGATTATTAATCAAGATGTTATAGTAAAGCTGTTAAAGTTGTAGTAAACTATCTAATAATTTGAACACTAGTTACGATGCTTTACGCGCAAAACTTAGAAATTTCTGATATATATATATATATATATACATATAATAGATTAAATTACATTAATTATATAAAATTCATAATTTTTATTCATCAAAATTAGGAATATTAATTACAAAATTAATAACTCCAATCATTTTAAGATTAATAATACTAGGATCAAATTTTTATTTAATTTTCAAGTATAGGGTTGTATCTAAAAATATTATATAAAATGTCTCCTTCGTTTATAATTATACTCACCTCCATTGTCTGAGAATGATGCAGAGCTTTGATGGCATTGATTGCGTACTGCTTACTAGCGAAGGTAACGAAGGCACAGGCTTTACTTTTCCCGGTGCTGTCCCTCAGCACCGAGCATTCCTCGATCATTCCGTAAGCGCTAAACATGTTCCTAACATCGTTTTCTGTGAATTTTTTCGATAGCATCCCAACGAACAGTTTGCGCTCTGTAATGATAAAACATAACTTCCATTAGCAATTATTTGCAGTATCGCGTCATCATAGAATCATTATGAAAAGTGACGTATTTCGTTAATAATATGTGCGATCTTAATAATTCAATAATAGTACCCGGAAGACGACCTTAAAGATAATATATGATTATTCATCCTTGATATGATTGTGTATTTAATTAGTTAGTGAGAAAATGTCTGACTGAGTAATCATGCAATCGAATGATAGCTATAGTCAATTGTCATTAACAGAACGTATACTATTACAGAATACTATTACTGGAGAATTACGTAGTGGATAAATTAAGTGCATTACTCATTCTTATTGCGCTTCTTATAACTAGATAGTTCAATTAACTGATATTTTTCTATAATTACATGTTTTTATATATATATATATATATATATATATATATATATACACACACACATAAGATATATATATATATGTACATGTACATATATATATATACATATAGATATACACATATAGATAAGATATATATATATATATATATACACCTTTAAATAATCGAAGACAATTCAAAGATATAATCTTCTCAAAGATCTTCTTTCTTTTTCTTATATTTATCATGACTATAACAGTTAGGATCATTATTGATTATTTCACAAGTAGCATCAGCACTTTACATGTGCCATTATGGTAATAGAGTTTGCATAACATCAAAAGAATTAGAATATTAAACATGAAAAAAATTTTTTTACCAAGCGTTACGTAAAACTAACTATTTTCCTATTCTTTATACCAAGTTCTGGTTATCTAAATTTTGTTAGCGAACTCATTAAAACTTTTATAAATGACATTTGTGACCAATTATTATCATTCGTGACATATTCTATGTCATGAATGAAGGAAGAATTAATATTCTGCAGATTAAAGGTTAACATCTAATTAATTACTATCTAATATATTCGGCTGCGAGCATCATCGATTAATTGAAAAAAAAAAAAACTATTTTAATCGTATAACGTATTTTATTCGATATAACGTTCTTAAACTTTGACTCACGTCGTCTCGAGCCGAGGTCACAAGTGACATCATGATTTCCCATTTCGCCCACCGTTTAATAAGCGTTTACAGATAATGCGGACAGTGGCTAGCTATGGGTCATTTGACGACGGTACAGACCACTAGAAGAGGTGACCTGGTCAATATTTGTTTAGGACCGGGAGAAAAGCTTCACCTAGAGAAAAGCCGCTTATGTAAATTCGGCATCGCGGGGGATAGGCTAGGCAAAATACTCGAATATATCTCTCGAGTCTATCTTCGCTTCTCTCATCCCTGTCACGTGTATTCAATTCTCTTATGGATCTTCTCGGTGTTAATGCATCGCTTATTCTGCGAGAACGTGGTGTACATTAAAAAAATCGAAATAACAAAAAATTTTGAAATTATGACGTATTATACACAATGCAAGTTTTTTTTATTTTTAAACTCAGATGATGCAGGATACAAATTTTTTTATCTTATTATTAAAAAGTTTGATACTCAAAACTGTGAATTAATGAAGTTGTATGCTTTAATTAATAATTTTATATGTATACATACCATATATCCAAATAAGTTTTAGGAATCAATATTTGCTCAGTAATTATAGAATCCATGTGATAATAATGTTTCGTTTTGTGCAATCTATTAGCATATGTGAATTTTTTTATTGCAAAGATTAAACCTGGCTTTGTATTATCATTCCTGAGTATTCACTTTTGCATAAATGCTGCGTGTATTAGATATGCAACAGTAACTCGCATCATATTAATTAATATTTCAGTGCCCTAATAATGTGGACTAATGTATTAATATTAATATCGAACTATGCAAATTCGCCGGCCAACAAGAGGGCTAAACATGACGAGTATTAATATGTGAAAATTGTGGCTCCCTGTCAAATGTTGCTATCCAATTCGCGCGATATCAAAGGAACTCGATGCTGCGTTTCAAGCTATGCGTAGCCATACTAGAGCGAATTGAAATCGAGAATACATCGATTTATAGTGCGTGGAATGTATCCATAGAAGTTGATATCAAATTCACGGTACAATTGCGTATGATCGTGTTTCCGGAAATCACCAATACGCTTTATGTGCAAATAATTACGGCCATAATGCTGACAAATAATGCCATGACTACATTTTGTAATGCTTACTGTACAATGAAATATAAGAGATATTAATAATATAAAATGTACTGCTTTGAAATTCATTTATTACATTTAAACAATAATAATAAGAATAACAATTTATTTTTATAATAAAGACTTGTACTAACAAATTATACGATAATATAAAATATATTGTTTTGTGAAATTCATTATTACATTTAAATAATGATAATATTATTAGTTTAATATATTAGTTTTTTATAACAAACTTTTTCATTAATAAAAGCTATAACGTTATAGCTTTACATGCCAATTATTCCCGATTATTTTTACGGTATTTTATAGAAGCGATACTGACACGGCGATACCAGTTTTCGAGTAACTGTAAATCCTAAAACAAAGCCTTTTGCTTGAAAAATTTGATTCCTACATCAATTCAATCTATCCGGATAAAAACTTCCTGTGACAATGATCCTCTTTGCGTTTAACGAGACGTATTTAAGGGGTTGTGTCTGACCGAAACGTCCGAAAAATAACAAAAAAAATATATATACTGAGACCAGGGGATCAAGGTTTGTCCAGAGGTTGATCCGTGCCGCGGGGAAGAGCAGAAAGGACGAGAAGAGCACTGAATATATCGGTCCAGACTACGGCAAACTCGTCTGCAGTTAACGATTTAATTAATTTCGCAGCCCCTAGCGACCGGATACCCGTGGTTGCCAACGACGGATCGGATTTCCCGCGGAAATCGAATGAAAATTTTAAGCCCTTTCCCTTCGCGGGGGAAATACGGTGTAAAAAGGCAACCAGTTGGGGAGGGGAGGGGAACGGAAGACAAATTCTCCTCTCTTCCTCACCCCTCCTGCGTTCCAGCGAAACTGCGGCTTTCGCGGAATGTTTATTAAATACCGAAGGTGCTGGTTTATGCCCTCCCTTTTTCCTTCTAAACGGACCGAAATTTTTCGCCCATTGCTACCAAGAGGGTTGGATATTATCAATGTGCGAAAGTCAGCGTAACGAATATTTCGAGATCGAGCAAGGGTGGAGTTATGATCAAATACGAAATAAAGAGGCAACCCGAACCAATTGCAATCGAATTCGTTTTAAAAATATATCAGTAGCTTTAGAATTCTTGGAGCTAGAACCTTATTAATTATATCGAAACTTCGAAAATAGAGTGCTAATTTCATAGGAATTCTACACACACACATACACACACCGCGCGCGCGCACACGAATACGCATACACACACACACACATATATATGCGAAATATCTCTACAATATAGCTATAACAATATATAGCTAATCCTAGATAATGCTTCTCCTACTATGTCGTCGGGATACTGTCGAGCTTATTGTAATCACATTTAAGGCTATTAACGTGGGAATAAAATAAGAGCGTGATACGGAGCCACTGGTCTCTGTAACTGCATTTGTAATGTAATTCACGTGCAAACTAGATACGACGCAACGTCGGATCATGCAGGCGGATATGAGATGCAGATCGCGCCTGCTGGAATGTTTGCATCGCACCGAATATTCCGTTAGGATGTCTGCAGCACGTCGTCGCGGAATACGTGCATCAAAGTATTGCGCATAGTCTATCGATCGAGCTTTATAAGATCTGCATAATAAACGAACACAATAATATTATAGAAGTCATTATAAATTACAAGTACCATGCAGCTTTTCATGCTGGCACAAAATGGTTTGCACAATTGTTCGATTATTAGTTAGAATTTTTCGAAAGATATGATATATATGTAATTTAAACATGTTTTTATGTAAAAAGCAATCCACAGAGAGAATACAAACTAACAGTAATATTACATCAATGTTACAATTTCCTATTTAACTATGTAATTATTATGTGCAATATGTGTTATATTACATTTACATTGTTGAGTGAGAAGTTATAATATTGATGTAATTACTATGAGTTTGTTTTCCACAGAAATTAATGCACTATTCAATTTTTAAATTCAGTTCTAAATTCATCTTACCTAAAATGTTCATAAAATTTAAAATAACTGAATAAATTTTGTATATTTATACGTTTGTACAAGATAATCTTACAAGTGTTGAGTAAAATGAAATTTATAATATATTTATGTATGATAAGAATATCATATAGATATAGATTATTAAATAATCAAATAATCTTTATCGTTATCAAAGTCAGCATCGGAGAATTATTGCTAACATAATGTTGCTTTTACTAATTTCGCTAATGAAAAGCAATTGTTTACATTCCGTACAATTAATCAGCGTTAATGATAACTTACTCGCATCCGCGAGGAAGCGTTTATTCGATACAAACAGGTGTCTGACTTCCACAAACGAAATGCTTGTGGCCAACCGGTGGCCAATGCGGTCACTTGTGTTCGATTCGATCTCCTTCTATGCATCTCACGGGCCCATTTACAACTTGTGCAATTAAATCGCAGCCTGCAAAACGTGATAAGTTTTCCAACGAATTCCGAGCCAGGCATTTCAAATCGATCGTCGTGCTCCGATATGCAACCAGCAACCTTCCACACCGTCGTTCCTTACTCGATTTCGCCTTTTTCGCGGCACGATGCGCCGAGGCGCGAGACGTTGCGAATGAACCAACGCTCTTACAGGCCGGAAAAAAGACCAATGCGAGATTAAGATCATGCATGCAAATGCGGACAAGCGAGGGAGCATTGGAATTTCGCGTTGCAAGACGTTTCGATGTGCCTTTTCGAAATGCGGAAGAAGAACGAGTTGTTGCACGCTATGCATCACCGGAAGCGCAACGTGTTCTTTGATTTTCATTAGAGCTCATTTTTAAGACTAAAGCTTCGTTTGTCGAAGTTCCTGAGTTATCACATCCGAATGGAATTTC